AAGTGAGATCTTCAAATTCCAGCAAAATAACACAATCAATATTGATTTTCAAAATAAACAATTCACTGTAAAACTTGAAGCTATTCTGTATTCCAAATCTACATCAAGTTAAAATATCAATCAAAATGAATGGCAACTTATTTAATTTCTCCCCATAAGACATAATGAGGTATGTATCCTTGTTATTATGAACCCAGTAAGAAACTTGTGAAGATACAATATAATACAGGTACGTCAAGCTTAAATTTCTTCTTCTTCTTCTTCTTCTTCTTTTCCTTTTAAAAAAAAAATAATAATAATAATAATAATAATACTATCATAACAACGTGTTAGTTAATAAATTAGTGCACAATACCAAGTAGTTTCCTTTAAAGACAGAATTGATAAATAAAGCAATTAAAAAAAAAAAAAAACTCTAATATTCACACTTTCCTTTTTCTAAGGAAAAAAAGTGAGAAATTTACCAGTATAACAGTGAATGTATGCATTGAGTCATTAGCTTCCTTTGTAAGAAAGCAGAGAAATTAGCTTTGTATGAAGAAGTAATTAGGCTCCCTAAAGACAAAATATTCAATTCCAAAACACAATAGAGCTGAAAGTAAAGGTATGAGAATGGAACACATACCGTCGACACTCATATTTTCAAAATCGGAGTGTTCTTCATCATCAACATCAGGAAGATCTGAATCCACAGAAAAAGAAAGATATCAATTTAAGAATCATAGGAGGAAACTGTACGCATCAGAGAGAGAGAGAGAGACAGGAGAGAAGACCTTCTTCGTCGACCGTAACTTCGTGGATCATATCGGATTCGTTGAGTAAAACCTCCCCTGGTTGTCGTCTTCTCGCGCTGGGCCGGTCATCTTCAACCACTGCGGAAACCAACACCGAAAAATAGTCACAAAAGGATTTCCCAATGGATAAATTCAATTTTAGTATCTGAACTTTCAATTTTAAATATTTTTCACCTCTGAATTATTTTTTGTGTTTATTTAGTCCCTAAATTATAAAAGATATATTTTTTTAATCCTTTCATTAATTATTTTATTAAAGTTGCTTATACATGCACATTATTTAAGGACTAATAATATGTATATATTATAAATTTAGAGATTAAAAAAATATATATATTTAGAGACACTTAATAAATTAATCTATTTAAAAAGATTAAAAAATATATTTTTTATAATTTAAGAAAAACAAAAAATAGTGGATTAAAAGTATTCAAAATTGAAAGTTAAAGGACTATAGATGACGTATAACCTTCTTCCAATCTCCAGTCAGTGCTTCCCAGCTATTTGTTTTAAATAGTCCTTAAAGAATTCAGTCAATAACATTTTGATACTAAAACAAAAGAGAGCATCGATTTAGTCTCAAAGATGCAAAATCCTTCGACCCTAAGGAAACCCGATTCAGACAGCAGCACCGACGCGTTTTGTATTTCGTCGGCACTTTCTCCTCCCGTGTGTGTTGATTTGATTCGCCAAACAACTCGATAACGGGATATATATATATATATATAGATATATATATATAATAAGAAATCTTAGTTCCTAATTAACTTGATTCCTCTCTATAAATACCACATCACAATCTCACTGTTCTTGAATCTTTCCTTGGATTTGTCTGTTTTAGGGTGTGATATTCTTTTTCCTGATTCAATCATGTCCATGCTCGATTCCTTCTTCAATAAGGGTTTCAAAGCTGCTAAATGGTAATTGCATATCTTTGCTCTTTTTTTTTTTTTAAATTTATACTTAATTGTTGTTTTTGGATTTGTGTTCAGTGGTTTGCATCTGTGTTTGAGTTTCAATTTCGATGATTTAGACTTAAAGGTTAAATTTTGTGTTTGATCTCTGTGTCTGCAGCAAAACCCTGTTAAAATTGACAATTCCGCGAATCAAACTACTGAGGAACAGGAGGGAGCTTCAGATAAAGCAGATGCGCCGAGACATTGCTAAGCTTCTTGAGACTGGTCAAGAGGCTACTGCTCGAATTCGGGTATCAATCTTCATTTCTTGAAGAATTTTTTATTTGATGGAGGTAGTTGATGATTCTTTCAAGGGCAATACTTGGGTGGTTTTCTTGTTTGACCAGTATTTTTGTTTCAGGTGGAGCATATTATAAGAGAAGAGAATATGATGGCTGCACAAGAGATGCTTGAGCTGTTCTGTGAGCTCATTGCTGTCCGGCTTCCTATTATTGAGACGCAAAGGTTGCAAAGCAGACTATGTTGTGCATTCTGCATTTATTTAATAGTATGAGACTTGGATTTTCTTTCTGATAGCTGTGTCTTTGAATCACTGATATGGGTTCGGCAGGCTTATATTTGCATTGTTAGTAGATGACTGTACTGTGCTTAAGGTTAGGTTTAGAGTGAATTACAGGGCCATATGGTGGTATTAGATTTTTGGAAGCATGGAAAATGGTTATCAAAACAAAAGAGCAAGGATTAGGCTCAAGCAAGTAAAAGGAAAAGGCCAAGAGTTTCACAACTTAAAAATTCTATCACATTCTAGTTCTTAATATTAAGTTAGGAATTAACCTTGAATTGCTGATGTGTTAGAAATTGCATGATGCATGATTATCCTGCTATTGTTTCAAAGTAGTTTGGTGTAATAGACTAGTCCAAACTTTGATCAGCAGCAGATGTGTCATTTTCCGGTTTGTTAGCCCAATACTCCTCTTGAAAATGTGTCTTAAGATCTTTTTTATCGTTATTCAAGCAAATTGTAATACAAAATATTTACAGCTTATTAGAATCTCAAACCTTTTCATAGGTAATATAGATGTTGAAGAACGAACTCTGATTTCAGAGGTAGATCAAGCTTGCACCCTAGTGACATTTGGTGCCTGTTACCAATATTTATGAGTTGTAACTCTGATGCACTAATCTAGAAGGAGCAACACATTTCTTAGACCCTTTGTTTAAGAGTTCAATTAGTATACAAGCAAGTTGGTCAAAAGACTAAAGACTTGCTGTTTTTTTTTTCCAAATTGAATTTCTAAAGCATCAAACTTTTGCAGGGAATGTCCTCTGGACTTAAAAGAAGCAGTATCTACCATCTGTTTCGCTGCACCGAGATGTGCTGATCTACCTGAGTTGCTGCAGGTTCAAATGATGTTCGCTTCAAAATATGGGAAAGAATTTGTTTCAGCTACTACTGAGCTGAGGCCAGACTGTGGTGTTAATCGTCAGGTATTTTGAGCTGTTGATCTTCACTGATAATTTTGGTTGTTTCTTCTACCTTTAACATTATTTATGTAATTATACTAACTGCAGGTTATAGAATTATTGTCCATACGTGCTCCTTCACCTGAAGCAAAGTTGAAGCTTCTGAAAGAAATTGCTGAAGAGCATGAATTGGATTGGGATCCTGCAGCTTCTGAAACTGAGTTTCTCAAACCACATGAAGATTTATTGGTAAGTAATATAATTTATCCTCCCTTCTCTGATTGTTGTTCCAAGCCTCACATTCTCTCTTTGTCAGAATGGACCAACACAATTTGTCAGTGGGTCTAAGTTGCCTCTTCCGGAAGAGAAACACAATGAAACATTGAAGTGTACTGCTGATCAAGTCAACAATGAAGAGGATGATTCTGATTCAGCCTTTGACTCATTAGATTTTCCTGAGGTTCCTACAGTGATATTGAGGCCCACTGCAAATGTTGCTTCAGCTCCCACAGCCAGCCCACCTGCACCAGCTGCTTCAGACCCTGAAATTGATCACACATTAGCAGAACATTCTGGGGCTACTGAAAATATGCCACAAGTGCCACATGTGGAACCTGAGGCAGTGAAACAGGAAAGATCAATTGTGAATGAAGAGGAAATATCTGATGATTTAGTTGGTTGCAAGGGAGATAAACAGTTTCTTCCATTCATTTCTCCTCCATCTCTATCTACTGCATCAACTTCTGCGAGACGGAGTGATTCACCACCTGCTGTCTCAAGGACAAAAAGTGATGCCAATATAGACTTGCAGGATGTTTTAGCCGCTGCTCAGACAGCTGCTGAAACTGCTGAGCGTGCTGCTGCAGCAGCTCGCTCAGCAGCTAGTCTTGCACAGGTCAGAATTGCTGAACTCACCCAGAAAAAGAATGACCAGGACACTGATGACAGTAGCTATGAGGAGAACCCATTTCACGCAGATATTCCTGATCAGCAAGCTAGTGCAGAAAAGCCAAACTTTGATTATCAGAACTGTTTTAGCAATCCCGATGAGGTTTTATATTCTCCAGATTCTCATCAGGTTCATCAACACCACCAAGAACCAGAGTTGTCAAATCTTCCCTCATTTGATAAACTCAATTTGGGTTTTAACTCTTTTAAGTCCAATGATCATGCTTTTGAAGAAGACCATGCCCATCACCAGCCACAGAGATTACCTTCATTGGACGATGAGCCATATTTTGCGTACCCAAGTCTGTTTACATCACAGAAGTCAAACCTTGGATCTGATTCTTTTTCAGATAATTCCGAGCCCCATACAACCCGTTAGCTTGAAGGTTGCATTCCCATTTCCTTTTTCATCTTTAGTTCTTTATGCGAGTATATTTGAAGCCAACACCAGTTTCTATAAGCGGTCTCCATCTTTATTAAATTTGTAAAGAAATGTTTTCCGTTTTCTGCTTTGGCTGAATAAGGAGGTTGTTGGAGTTGCATGTATTATGGATGTCACGTGTCTATCCAGCCCCTAGGTAATACAGCATGAAGAATTCAAATATTCTATAGATAGCTTCTCATTGAGTGTTGATGAGTCCCTGTGAGCTGCTGAAAATAAACCATGTTGTTTATGGAATGTAAGGCACTACTTTTTCACTACTTTAAATGACATGCTTTGGATATGAAAAAAGGGGTTTTTTTTTTTTTAGTTTGAATTATGTATTATAAGTGTAGTCTTAAAATTGAAATTACGAAGGAATCCAGCACTGCACTTTTATTTTGCTATTTAGACTTGAACACACTTTAGTTTAATGTATTCTGTGGTCGGAACTAGGACGTGCTTTGTACATAACCATCCTTTCACTTTTGATGGCAGACGAGGCCATCGTCTAGCTAGGTCGGAGCAGACTCGTGCAAAATGCAGAAGGCTCCATTGCCAGCCAAGAGGCGGTTATGATAGCTCTGATTAAATAAAACAAGGCAAGCACTGCAACCTTTGCAGGTGCTTTTATGCCCAAAAGAATAAAGATGTATAGGAAAACAAAGTTCGAACATGAGATGCCACTAGATTAGGCTGCCCCAGCTGCAAATATACATGAAAGTATTGGCCCTGTCAAACTGCAGCAAATGATACAAATTGGACCTCAACAAAGATGACTCATATGCACAAATGTAAAGAATACAATGCGGAATGGGCATAGATATAAAACGGTACACGGTCACTAAATAACCAAAAAAAAACTAGTAACTTTCCTTTCTTTACTGTTGCTGTGCCATGGTCACCTCGGACCAGATAACTCAACTGCATGTAGATTTTCTGTTGAGTCAACGATCCAGTCAGAATTAGGGTGAGGGGCAAGTTCAACCTCCTGCCGGAGAACTTCCACCTTTTGCCACTCATCCCACCTCTCCGCCAAACCATCACCTTCAAGCATTCTCACTACTTCTGACATCTTAGGTCGGTCCATGGGAGAGCCTTGCGTGCATAACAGAGCAACCTGGATTAGCTGCTCAACCTCAGATTCAACATATTTGTCTTGGAGATCAGGGTCTACCAACATTTCCAACTTCTTCTCCTTAAGAAGTCCTTTTACCTGCGAAAATGTCAGTGCATCAGTTGTTGAAAAATTGGAAGCACCAAGAGCAAAAGGAAACTAAACCTGTTTTTTTCTCAAGATACTATTTACAGCATAAACTCAACTACTAGAAATCCTATACAATCATCTGGAAGTAAAAAAGGCTCCTATGAAAGATACTTTTTCTCAGCTATCAAACGACACATTTTTTATCCCATCTTTATTTCCTATTTGTTACCTTTATTTCCTATTTGTTACTCCTACTTTTTCATAAGATTCATAGTAAAGTGTTCAGCGAAGCAGGCTGGGCAGGTCTTATCCCTATTCTGCAAAACAAATATTCTTCAAAACTGCAATTGCCCCACCCAACTTTACCCTAGGGGCCCAAATAGAACATGATTACAGAATCAAACATCTTTCAAAGTAAACAACAGCAGCTGCATCGGGTACAATATCACAAGGGAGAGCAGACAAAATCAAATCCACAGTCATAATGATAAGAGAAAAGAAAGAATCAGAAGCACACATACCCAATCAAGCAACATGACATCATCGTCATTTGCAAGCCGAGCAAGATCAAAGGCCCGCTGCCCAGTTATTAGTTCTAGAAGCATAATCCCATATCCAAAAACATCAGTTTTCTCTGAAGATTTCCCAGTAGAGAGGTACTCAGGAGCAATATGTCCAATTGTGCCACGTACAGCAGTAGTTACATGGGTATCCTTGTAGTCCATTAGTTTAGCCAACCCAAAGTCCCCAACAACAGCTTCAAACTCCTCATCCAACAAAATATTTGCAGCTTTCACATCACGATGAATGATCTTTGGGTCACAGTGATCATGCAAATATGATAGACCCCTAGCAGATCCCAGTGCAATTCGCTTCCTAGTTGGCCAATCAAGAGGAGGTTGTGATGGAGGACGCTCTACAGGAATGTTTTATCAGAACATCAGAAGATGAGAGGGTTTATGTGGAAAGTTGGTTACAAAAAATAATTCAAAAAACAAGTGATAACAACCAATCATTCATAGAAGTATGATGCTAACATATTTACCTCTTAAACAAGATGCAACACTTCCATTAGCCATATAAGGGTATACAAGTAATCGTTCTGTTGGAGTCATACAAAAGCCACGCAGTCTTAAGAGATTCCGGTGCACAGCCATGCTGATCATCTCCACTTCTGTTTGAAACTGCAGCTCACCACCAGGTGTACGCTCTTCTTTTAGTCTTTTTACAGCCACTAGTGAACCATCAGCTAAGCGTCCTTTGTAAACCTTACCAAATCCACCTCTACCCAGAATATTTTTATTGCTAAAACTATCTGTGGCAACTTGTAATTCTCGCAGTGAAAACCTTTTAAGCTGCCCCAGATGGACTTCTGGATCCTCTTCAGCTGAATAGAGATGGAAATGTATGATGAAGGCAGTTAGTTTCTATGTTTTAAATGAACTTGAACACAGTGAATTTCCATAAGTAAACTAACCGGGTACATCAAAGAAAAATTCTTGAGGTTTCCTCCGACGCCACCATGCAAATGCAATTGCTGGGGCAGCAAAAAGCAAGGCAGCACCAGCAGCAACTCCTCCAGCAATTGCACCAGTGGCACCACCGGCACCTAAATTTGATATGATGGAAAAATTAATGAGCAAAAATTTGAATATCATCTCCTTCACAGATTAACAGCATATGATCTCAGTTGAACTAGAAAGGGTCAGCAGTCAATGACAACAGTAAATCAATTACCAGGTCAACATAATGGGAAAAGGTATGAGTCATTTGACAAATCATGCGGGATGAGGAATGCAAAAAGGAGCACAGAAATGATATAAGCATTTACAACTTGAGTTCAACATTGTGAAATTAGTATTACCTGGAGAAGTAATTGGGGCTGGTGGAATAAATGGAGGAGGTGGAGAAAATGGAGGAGACCCTGGGCAAGGGCGCCCAGTAACAGGGCCACATAGGCCCACGTTGTTAGCAAAACTGCATAAAAATTCAATTCCATGTATATTCAATCCCAGTAACAAGGAACCATAAAAAATGACATGCCCAATAAGTAAATCAAGATTTGAAGGTTCAAATCACAAGAAATAACCTGATGGGTGTGAACAGTGAAAAGGACCCATTGTCTGGAACCTCTCCAGAAAGATGATTATTGGACAGATCCCTGCGTATCATGATGCAATTTGATAGTACAAGGGTATTACAATCAGAATGATGTCATAAAATGAAATAGTAAGGGAGAGTTGGTCAGGAGCAAAGAGAAAATCAATAAGTTCAATTTATAGTTTGTACTCACAATACTTGAAGCGAGGAGATATTGGTCAATAACATTGGAATGGGACCCGTCAAGCTGTTGTTGTTAAGCCGACTATCCTTGCACAAACATTGTGACAATGATAGGGAAGTTAAGAACTAAACCAATCAAGGTGTTTTTGGGTGTGTTTGTGAGAATGAGTGCCTAAGAAATGTAACAAAGCAAAATGCATTAAAAGGTTGAAATTAAAGCTCCTCAGTTCTCTAAGTTCCTTTCAATTTGCTTTAGAACATGTATATTTTATTATCTGCATCAAGCACAAGATTCTAAGCATATCCATGCAATACACAATAATAAAGATAAAAATACTTACAGGAATCGCAATTTAGACAGCTTGCCCAATGACTCTGGAATAGGACCAGTAAAACCATTCAAATAAAGATCCAAGCTGACCAAGCTTGTCAAATTTCCAAGATCACCAGGAATCGGTCCACTTATATTGTTACTGTAGAGTTCCCTATCATCAACATTAGAGCTCAAATTGTCAAAGAAAGCTAATAATGTGATACCTGTCAACACTTAACTCATAAGAATAGACTTCAGATTACTTGGATGATTTACAGATGCAAAAGTCAAAAGAACTTGACATCATTTGAGAGAATAAGAACTAAAAATGCAACTCCTCATGTTAAAGAGAAACACCAGCAGGTGAATATCTCATAATCTATATGCAACTGAGCTCCATAGGACATATGAGTACAATCCTCTACATTAACCAATGAATCCTACGGTTTGGATCTTTTTCATGTTTCCACAACCGCAAGAACTTGATTATTAGATATAAATTCTGGTTCTCCATATGCAGATATTCTCAATTTATCAATATTTGACAATTTTCACACTATAGAAAGGAACATGATCACAGTTCAATTACAATTAGAAAGCAACCATTTAACTTCAACCAAGACATGGCAAATCTAACCTAGCCCCAAATTATGTGAACAAGTTCCTGATTATATATTCTTCCAGACACTTAAAGCAACAATTTGTTTAGATCATCAAACATGCCAAATTAAACAAAAATCTAAAAATCTTGGATTTCTCACTGGTTTGTTACATAAGCTCTGCTTGTCTAAATCAATTGCTACAGGCAAATTAACTAAATAGAGCTTAACGTGTAAAACTTAATTTTCTCAAGGACATTTACATTTGGAATGTTATAAACTGTTGGACCAAACAAATGAAAATGCTAATATCTCCAGGCAAGGCATGACATACAAGTACTGCAAATTCTTGAGCTGTCCCAGCTGTGGAACTAGTTGCCCAGATAAAGCTGCATTTCCAAGATCACTGAAAAATCCACAAAACAGCTATCATACAGAGAACACAATGCAAATCCAATAATAAATAAATAAATAGCTTAAGATGTTGAGCAGCGCAGAAACCAAACACTGAGGACAACTAAGAGATAAAAACTTACACTCGAATTACACTATTATCATTGTTGCATGTAACATGAAACCATGTGCATGGGTTGACAAGGGTAGGATCCCAGCTCTGCAGGACATTGTTAGGATCATTTAAGTTTGTCCTCAGGCTATGTAGCGCATCACCTGTTTCATGACATGGGCAGAGTTACTAAGAGATTAAATTAATTCGCAAAACAGTAGAAAACATCCCATAACAGAAGTAAACACAGGTTTAATTACAAAATATATTAACAATGTCCAATTCCCATGACCATTACTAGCAATGTACTAAAGAAGAGAATGCATCACTGCTTGAAGAAACCTACATAATTGTTAAAAAGTTGCAGAGACAAGATCTTTGAAGATTTACAGTAAATAAATGATATCAAACGTATTAAAAATTCTAGTAATTGTAGGAAACAACAGACGGTAACAAGAATTCAAATCATGGTTGGAACTTGAGGCAAACAAAAACTAACAAGTCAGTTCAGTTGGCAGGGAGAAGCACACAAAGTCATAATCTGAGCATTTGACAAAGGATGTTCTTTAAAAATCATTTTCCCTAAGATATATTCCAAAAGAATCCATAAAGCTAATTCAATAAATGCAAAAGATTCTACAACCATGAGATTTTGTCTGCTTTGCTAAAAAGATCGGAGCCCATCTCATCAGATTAAGCCCTTCAAAATATGAACTTTTACTCCCAGAAACAAAACAAGGAAATGAAGACGAATAATTCAATGATATCATAAATAGTTAAATGCCCATTATCACCAAAAAGATAAGATGCTCATTGGAATAAACCCACTCCATCCCACCCACAAAGAAATAAAAGAAAGAATGCAAATCATTTACAAAAGTCAACACAAGTTGAAAAACAGGATCAAACTCCTAAAACGGTGAAAAATCAAAACAGAAATGAATTGCAAGAAACAGATACAAACACCAACTAAAAATAAAACACTCACCTTCCACGTTAGCAGAGACAAGCCATAATGGATGAACCAGCAAGATCAACCCCACGAAAACCAAAGCCCCAACCTTCCCCTCCCTCTCCATTTTGATACTCACACTAACACTTCACAGCGCCAAGCTCCTCACCCCAATCTCAATCTAAACACCTTCAGATCCCAGCAATAAAGCAGAACCCAACCCACCATCACCATCCACTTTAAAACCCTAGCTCTCAAATCCCACCATTACCGCCAAGGAATCTCCTCTCCTCAATCAAACCCATTGATCCCATCAATATGCAGACCCCATAAAAGCATGCCCCCCAAAAAGACAACACCCCAAAACTAAAAAACCCATAAACAAAACCAATCTAAAACCCAAATTTCTTTGGAAAAATGTTAAATTTAGCTTTTGGGCAACTGTAAAAATACAAAATTTAATAAAAGAAAGAAATGAACTTCCCTTTCGAGCTCAGAAAACTCTCTTCCCTAAGTCAGTGAAGTGTGTTCATGAGAGAAGAGAAAGAAAGAGAAGATGGGAAAAAGAGTGTTTATATTTTATTTTTTAGTTTTTTAAAGAGTTAAAGCGTGCCAAAAAGAGTGCTGCCCGAACGGTGCTGCCCGTTGCCCAAACGCAGTCAAAACGGGGTTCGCGCTATATCGTGGAAAGTGACGTGATTAATTGCATTGGGGATAATTTCAGGAAACCAAGTTTTTCTTTTATTTTTTATTTTTTTATTTTTTGGGGTCAAAATGTTGGAGTGTGGAGTCCTGTAGGGTCCACCCATTGCCACGTCAGATAGCTATGAAATCATTATACCCTCGCATGTGTGTCCAATTTTTTTCTTTTCTTTTCAGCTTATTTCCATTTTCCCAATTTTATGTAAAAACACTCCAAAAGCAACAGAGGATTTAACTTTGTGAAATAGAGAAATAGAAAAATCAAAACGAGTTAGTATTAAAAAGATTAAAATGTTGTCACCCACCTAAATATTTCAACTTTAATTTTTTTAAAGCAAATAAAAATTTTTAATTTAAATTGTATGATATGAGTCTATAATTTTTAAAAAAATTAATATATAATTATAATTAAATATATTAACATTTTTAATATTAAAATATATATTTTTTTGTTTTCCATACAACTGAGGTTTTTTTTTTTAATTTTTTGGGCCTTTGACTATGAGGATTTAAACTAATGAATTTAACATTACTAGTACTTGTTATATACTACGTATTAATTTCTTATTGGTAGAAAAACTTGCCACTTAAACGACTACCTTGTCCGCACAATAGCATTTTATTGGGAAAAAGATCATATAAATAGGAATATAATTTTCTTTTGGTGAAAAAATATAAATAGTTTAAATCTTAGTACTTACCTTCAAAATGCAATATAAATTATTGAATAGAAGCATAGTGCCCAATATTAAAAAATTTACATTTTATCTAATAATTTAATTTATACAACTTGAAACATAGATAAGTATGCCAATTACAATTTTATAATATACTTTTATAATATAATGTATCATAAAATGAGTAAATATTTAGTAAAAAAATGAAATTGAAGAAATGAAAGTGAAAGAAATGAAGCCAATAACTTAAATAATTCAGTAATTATCTCATTTCACTGAAAGTAAAAAATAGTAAATTTAAGTCGCATAACATACGGGTGAGGTAAGATAAAGGATGAGAGATAGTTACCTTTTATTGTATAATCAAAATAAAAAAGAATTGAAAGAAATGAAGTGAATTAATGAAAGGAAATTTTTTAAATCCTTTGAGAAACAATTAATATATCCAACAAACTTATATGAAGTTGGGATTTATGCAGATGACAACGTGAACCATAAAGCCAAAGTCATAATCAAAGAATATATTGTGGGTCGGACTTAAATTAACTTTTAATTTGGCACTTTCAACTCTTGACTTCATCACTCGAACAAAATGATCAAATCAAGCGTGTTTTTGTAGGGACTTCCGTATTTAATGCCCAAGCCTGCAATCATGCACTTACGTTGTTGACTCAGCTTTCAATTGCTGAATTAAATGTTGCCCGGAGGAAATTAAAAATTGTTGAATTCTTGACTTCTATTCTAACTCTGCCCATTTTTTCCTTTTTTATGTATATTATCTGCAATCGATTTGACCATAAAATCTCTATGTATCAAATAGCTGAACATATAATAGGATTATCCAAAGAGGCTGTTATTAGGTTTCATTTGTTAATCCTGTATTGTGTTATAATTATGAA